ATGTTTCCAAATTTACTTTTTTCTGCCTGTAAGAAAAGTGAAAAATCTTTGAATTGGCTTTTTTTCCTCAGTGTTCTATCTGCTTCTGCTTGGTCCAGAAGCATGTTAGGGTATCAAAGAGAAGTAAAGTCTTACTGTTTGAGGTTCAAAAGAATCACTAAGCATACGCATCCGGCATCAAATTATCATGTACATAGATGTCAGCTGAAATTCAGATATATTTTTCTTTAAAATATATGAAAAAGTCTCCCCCGACATTAAGGATCATTCAGATCATTTAGCTGCTGCTGCCTAATGATTTATCTGTGATGACTTGGGCACCACCTTTCCTTTTGTTTTAACAGCTTTATTGAAATATAATTACATGCCATAAAATTCACTCACTGTAAATGTACAATTTGATGAACTTAGTATATTGCTGGAGTTGTGTGACCACTACCAGAGAGCAAGTCCATCACCCAAAAAAGAAACTTTGTACCTATTTGTAGTTATAACCTACTCCCACCCCCAGCCCTGTCTCTGTAGATTTACCTTTACTAGGCATTTCATATAAATGGACTCATACAATATGTAGAATTCACATATGGCTTCTTCCGTTTAGTATGCTTTTGAGGTTCACCTATACTGTCATGTGTATTAATAATTCATTCCTTTTAACTGCTGAATAATATTCCATCATGTGGAGATATCACAATTTGTTTATCTATTCACCAGTTGACAAACATTTAAATTGTTACCAGTTTGAGGCTGGAAATAATGCTGCTATGAGTATTTGTATACATGTCTTTGGGTGGACATGTTTTTATTTTTCTTGGCTAGATTCCCAGGAGTGGAATTTCTGGGTTGAATGGTAAGTTTATGTTTAAGTTTTTCTTTTAATTTAATTTTTATCTTATTATTAGTTTCAGGTGTACAAAACAACATAATGATTAGACATTTACACCTTCAGAAAATGATAACCCCACCAAGTCTACTACCCCTCTGACATCGTACATAGCTATTTAGTTTTTAAAGAAGTTGCCAAACTCTCTTCCAAAGTGGATATCAAATTTTATATTCCCATCAGCAATGAACAAGAGTTTTAGTTTTTCCATATCCTTGCCAACGCTTGGTATTGTCAATTAAAATTTTAGCCATTCTAGTAGGTATGTAGTGGTATTTCATTGTGGTTTTAATTTATGTTTTCCTATCAAATAATGACATGAGCATCTTTTCATGTATTTATTAATCATCCATGCATCCTCTTTGGTAAAATGTCTATTAAAATATTTTGCCCATTTAAAAATCAGGTTGTTTGTCTTCTTATTGAGTTGTAAGGTTTACTTTATGTTTTAATTAAAAAGTTTTGATAGCATTTTAATTTTGCAAATCCAATTTTAAAAGTAAGCCGTTGGATAAGATGTTTTAGTACTATTATACCTCCTTTAAGAGGTCTTTAAAGTCTTTTACTCCAATACAGTGTCCTGAGGCTGGGGAGGCAGGTGTTCTTCATTTTTAGAAGAAGATATCACTGCCCAGAGAAGAAAAGTGAGGGGTTCCATCCAGGTACCAACTTATTGCATATAATGCCTGGATCTGGAGTGCGACCCCATTGGAGACTGGGAGGCCAGGAGCATAAGTGGAAGCTTTTCTTTCTCCCCAGGGCCCAGTGTGGGGCCTGGTGTTGCCCGAAGGCTTGCCAGGAGGCATAACTCATGTGAGCCTTGGACCCAGGCCTTGGACCTATTTGGTGGAAGGGAGCGCTTGTTTGCTGGGTTGGAAGCCATGTACCCAGGTGCCCGGAGATGATAGTCAGAGGGTCCTGTTGGCTTTGGCTTGGCTTCCCAACCTTTGGGCATGCTGAATTTCACAGGTGGCTCTCCTGGCAGCAGGGCACCTTGTCTGTTCTCACTTCATAAAGATTTCCATGTAGGACCTCCCTTGTGGCAGTGCAGCTGTATCTCTTCACCCTCGGTGACCCTACCCTGCAGGACGATTCACTGCCTGCTTGTGGCTTCATGCTATTTGGGCTTCGGGGCTTGCATCTGGGCAATCGTGGAGGTCCTCGACCTGCAGAAGTGCAAAAGTTCCCGAGGAGACTGAAAACCTTTCTTCCTCTCCTTGAGCAACAGATATTATTTTCTGACTGCTGGACCAGATGGTCAGTCCCCGAGGCTCATCTGGAGGGTGAGAGAAATAACAATGTTTTCTGTTGTTCTGCTCCAGAGAGAGATACACCTCTACGAATATAGGAGGATTGTAATTGAATATTAAAATATTACATAAGCTATTTTTCACTTGTACAAGGTATGATCACAAAATACAGTGAAAGTTTATATAAAAATAATTTATTATAATGATAGATACATTGACATTAATCCCCCTCAAAATACTCCCCCTCGCTTCAAACACACTTATCCCATCATTCTTGCCACTTTCTGAAGCAGTTCTGGAAGTCCTCTTTCGTGAGTGTCTGTACTACCTCCTCCATCATGACAACACCCTGTGTCACACATTGTTTCTGGCATACGGCAATTCTGTCAAATAAAACCATTAGAGTGTGTCCTCATCCACCTTGTTCACCGGATCTGGCACCGTGTGACTTGTGGCTCTTCCCCAAAGTCAAAATGATTCAGGACATTGAGGCAACCACAACAGCACAACTGAAGACACTCATGAAAGAAGACTTCCAGAACTGCTTCAGAAAGCAAGAATGATGGGATAAGTGTGTTCGAAGCGAGGGAGAGTATTTTGAGGGGGATTAATGACAATGTGTCTTTTACTGTAATAATTTTTTTTAAACTTAAACATTCACCATAGTTTTTTTTATCACGCCTCATTTTCTCACCCAGAGTTGTCCCCCTAGCAGTGTTTGATTTCTGACTTTCTCTTTGTTACCTTTAAGAATCCTAAAATGAAGCCACCCTGTGTGAAGGGGCTGAGCACACTGTGCTGGGCTATTTAGACTGTGAACCCTGCATCCGGCAGGAGCAACCAAATGTGCATTGCAGCTGCCAAAAGACTCCATTCAATGGCTCATTGACTTCAATGGAAAGAGGTGTTAATAGAGTCAGGGGAAGTGATGCTATTAAAAAAATGCCATTGTGTGGCTCTGTTCCTTGTTTATTCTCCCTCAATGACTTCCAGATCAAACTTACCAAGGTTGGCATCCACGATGCCTGTTCGGGACTCCAGTTGGAGGCAAATAAGACATCCGGCAAGGTTACTCTTCTCTTCCTGCTGCTGCATCTCATTCCTTGGGATGATTGTCAGATAGTGCAGGGTTGTCTTGGCGCCTGTGAAAGTTGGGCCTTGGTGTCAGCACATGAGCACAATAGCAGTGTCGGGTATCGCACAACTGTCGGGTTGTTGGCCTCAACCTTGAGCAAGGGTTAGAGTCTCCATAGCTCTCCAATCTTAAGACCCTAAGGGTGGGGTGTGGACGCAAGAAAGGGATCAGGACTCTGTGTTCTGTTTTGCTCTCTTGATGAGATGCGGGGAAGTCAGCCAAAGGTTCTGAGAGCTCTAAATGATGCAGAGTTGTTGTTGTTATTGATGATATAACTGGCTTTGCAGAGACTGTCTGAGAACTTGCATTCTCCATTAATAATTAATGCTAGGAGAATATAGTGTTCAGTTCTAGAAGACCTCTGGGGTCTTGGGGAGAGAGGGATGGTGTAATCATAAAACTGAGACCAGAGTCCCCTCCTTCTCTCCCCACATCGAGGGAGAAAACAGAGACTTTTCTAAACTATGCATTCTCAGTGAGGGTGAAGCTACCTGCCCCCAGCTTTCACCAAAGAGGCAAAAATTGTGGGGGGGTTTTTTGGGGGGGCAAAAGAACCCTTCTCTTTTTACATATAAAACACAGATATACATCCAGTACATAAACAGATATACAGTGAATCATTAGGAAGGTGATTAGGAGAAAAATGTCTGAAAATGCTCCTTAGATGAGCAATAATGAAAAAAAGTTAAAGAACGCTGCTCTAAACTAAGATTTTATTTTGATGAAAAGAACTGAGCCCTGAAAAGTAGATAAAATCTGCACTCACTCCTGAGCTGCAGGGGATCTTGCTCTGCTGAGACCTGCCAACACCACCAGAACAATCAGTATTAGGATTTGTTATTGAGAACTCTCTGCTCCCATCATCTATGTTAGAAATTTGAAAGCAAATTCAGGGCGCAATTTCCCATGTCCCCTCCTATTTTGTTTGCCTCCACCTCTCACAGGGAATTGGGGTATATGCTGTTTCACAGTTGCATGTGTTCTAAGGATTCCCAACTCTCTTCAGTTCAGCATGCTGGAGAGAGAATGGCCCTTATTGCTTCTCTTCTTTTTTCTTTTTAGTTATGTATTTAAAAAACTAATTTATTTTTCAATTACAGTTAACATGTAATATTATATTAGTTTCAGGTGTACAACACAGTGCTTAGACATTTATATAACTTGCAAAGTGATCACCCTGATAAGTCTAGTACCCATCTGATACCATCCATAGTTATTGCAATATTATTGACTAGATTCCCTATCCCCGTGACTGTTTTTTAAATGAGGATGGAGACGTAGCTAGAAGTTTGGGAAGGAATAGCAGCACAGCCTCTTGTTTTCCTTAAGAAAGCAGGAAGGAACTGGGGACACCAGCATTTGATGCCACAATGTGTGTTGACCTTATCATGCCTGGTCAAAACTCAGGGGTCTGGGGAAGATAGTCCTCCCAGCTTTCCTGTTGGAGAGGAACAAGGACTGACAGTCATGCTGGTACACTCAGATTGATGAAGAAGCGTGCTCCAAAGCCGTGACAACCTAGCTCCCTTTTGTCCCTCCCTTGGAAGAGTGCGCACACACCTGGATTTGCCTTACTGTTGGTGTCTCTCTGTGGTTCTCTCTTCCTTCTTGTTCTTTTCTTCTTTCTTTGCTTTCTCGTTGGTCTTTTCACTGGGACTTGGCCGGGCCATGTGCAAACCCAAACCATTCAACAGTGCTGGAGAGTAGATAGTATTTACCTCAATGATGGTAGTCTCTTTTCGATTCTTTTTAACCCTCAACTCAGATGATGGGTCTAAGCCGACACCCACGATGGAGACGCAGCCGGTGTTCGACGGAGACGGTAAGCTCTGCTATTACATCTGACTCACGTTCTTCCACCCGTTTCCAGGTCTTTCCTTCGGATGTTTGCTTAAGCTTTATTATTATTATTTCTTTTTTAATTTTAATTTTTCCCAGTTTAAGCTGGGTTGTTTTAACCTTTTAAAAAATGCAAACCCTCCCAGGAACTGGTACACTCTCCAGTTCTGGAAAGGGCCTCTGTTCTTGCCAAGCTCCCTGCCTGGATGCTGGTATCCAATAATAATACAGTCTGGATGGACCCTTCAAACTGCCAAGACCAAGGAGCCATGGCTGAGAAAGACAGTCAGGCCAGCGTGGTCCCTTCAGTAAATGAACCAGCGCTTACAAGTTCCTGCTCGGTGCCTCGCATAGTTCTATGCCTCTGGGGCACAAAGGAGGAATAGATGAGATGAAGCTTTTGCTCTCGAGACAGCGGCAACTATTGGAGAGCTTTTTGTGTCAAATTATATAGTCTCAATTTTTATGGTAGTAGAAATGTATAAAATGTATAAAATGGTCTGGGGAAAGGTTCATTGAAGAGATGGGACTTGAGCTGGATCTTGAAAGTGGGGAGGAAGAATTAGGGCATGCCAGGAAGGGAGATTGGCATGGACAAAGGAGGGAATATTGTGTGGACGGGGTATAGAGAGGAAACTAGCAAGAAAGAGACTGGGTAGTGAAGCTGGTTTGGCTAAGTTGTAGGGACGTTGCAAGTTGAGTCAAGACATTTGGGAGAGGAGAAACTCTAGGTCAATAGAAATAGTGGGGGCTGGTGGCAGAATGGAGGTTGGACGTCCCTGGAGGTATAAGGAGTGTACAGAGGGAGCTTGGGGTTCAAGGCTGGCCTCAGTTTGAGTTTGAATTGCTCAGGGCCTATGTGCTTCAGTGTGCTTTCCTAAGCACTCCGGGTTCCCATAAGGAGAAGCAGGAAACTTGGCACAGTGCCAAGTCTGACACCCAGGCCGAGTTTTCAGTACAATATGTAACAACCTTTTAGCAGTTTTCAGCCAAGTGTATCCAGGCTGGATCATGAGATTGGACAGTGAGATAGGGGAATAAAAAGAAATTATGCCACTGGTTGGTACTGTGACTAGGGATGTCCTTAGCACAGGCTCAGCTTTAGATAGAGGGATAAAAATGTGAGCTATATTTTGCAACTGATCATTTAGTGGAACATATTCATGCCTAGAAGGTCAAAGGCTTCTATGACCCACAAAGGTCCTTTATCGTCAGCAAGTCTGCAACCCTGGGGGATCAGGTGGGGAATGGAGACCATGTTAGCTTGGGAGACCACCCCAACAACCCCCACAGGGACAAGTGAAGGTCTTGTCACTCTACGGTGTGTTCAGGGTCATCCTGGATTCACACACCGCCTGTCCTCTGGGTGACCCAAGCCCTGGAGAGCCTAGAGGCACCCCAGAGCTCTCTGGATGGAGGTCAGCCTCTGTTCAACGGGAAATCTTTAGAAAGGGTGTTGAAGTGCACATTAGACCCGTTACTTTCTTTGCCACGTGGAGCAGAATCTCAGCACCTAAAATCTGTTGTGGCTTAGCCATTTCCTCCAAAGTGGTCTTTGTGGTTTGTTTGGCATTCATGTGTTGATTTATCCCCTTTAAACCTCCTTCCAAGGAAGCAGCTGAGAGAAACTTGGCCCATGTTCCTCACCTCCTGGGACAATATTTTTATTCCTGGATGGAGTGGCTCAGTGCTTCTGGACTCTGACCACTCTGCCTCCCGGCACAGGAGGCCCTCGTTGGCTCCTATGAGCTGATGGGGAGAGGCGCTTCTCTAGTGAGGAAGGGAGAGGGAGTTGGGACAAAGTGGATGTGGAATGAGGGAGCTAGCTCAAGCCTCGATGGCTCAGGCTTGAGAAAAATAGCCACTAAAAAGCCTTGGGGTTATACTCTAACTTATATTTCTCTTTGACCAGACTTTATTTTCTCTCTCCCCCCCCCCCAGAAATCACAGCTCCCACTCTATGGATTAAACACTTGGTAATCAAGGACTCCAAATTGAACAACACCAGTGTAAGAAATTCAGGTAAATAAGCTGCCTTGGATTATATACATACCTGATCTGTCCATGGCTGCCCCGTGGTGGCTCCATGACAATCTACTGTGTGGGTTTGGGCAAGCTATTTAACCTGTCTGGTCTTTAATTTCTACAGCTGTAAAATGAGATTAGATGAGTTAATTCCTTCTAACTTTGTCTTCAGTTGTTTCAGGGATCATCTTTCATGAGTAGTTGACACTTGTAGCTAAAAAAACCAAAAAAACAACAAACCATTTTGACCGTATGTTTTAATGTTTTAATTGACTTTCTATATGCTCTGCAGAAGAATTTGAAAGAAGAACAGCTGGGCAAAGAGAAGTTGGACTTCAAACCTCAAGAGCCTTGGGTCTGTGTTTTTAAGGCTCTAAATAGTTACTTACGGTCATGTCTTTTCTGGTCTGATCTGTTGAGGGACCTGTGAGCGTGGTGAGGTTTTGGTACCGGCTGAACCCCTTGTAGAAAGGGGATACTTTTTGAAGAGGGATCAGATTTGTAGAGTTCATTGGCCATTCATGAAGACCAAAGTCAGTAAAGTTTATTTACCATCAATAAAGACCAGATGTCCATCTATAGGAAAATTTAGTAACAGATGCAGTCTATCTCTATCAGGGGAAATCATCCTTCTTTCAGTCTAAGGCTTTATTGTGAGAAATGCCACTTGGCATCTTTTATGTCTGGTTGTTGAATTTAGTCATATCATATTTTCCTTATAGATAGCAAGGACTAGAACCAAAAGATACATCCCTTTCAACTGGCAGGCAGGGTTTTACATGACCAGTAGTTAATGCTGTCCTTGGTCCCTGTTAGGTTCACCTGTATGCCAGCTCTTCCTAAAGGTGGCAGTGTGAGGGCTGGCATGCACGGATGTATTTAGACTATGAGGTGCATCTGTGTGGCATTGCTGATTTCTTCTGTGACTTGGGCTGGTCAGTACCTCAGCAGGTGCCTGGTTCCCTGTTAGATGAAAACCGGAAGAATTGTGGGATGGTGGGCGGGAAGGAGACCATGTGAACTCCCATGGGCCAGATGCTTTGACAAAACAGGTCTGTGGTTAAAGCACAGCCTTTGGAATCAGCGAAATCTGGGTTCACTTTCCGGCTCCAACGCTTACTGAGTGACCCAGCCAAGTCAAATCACCCCCCTGGGATCATGATCTCCCCCTCAAAGGACTGTGGTTAAAGGCTAACTGAGTTAATGTCCATGTGGTACTTAACAGATGCCTGGCTAAGTGATAAATAATAAATACATGATAAATTGTAAGGACATGTATTTGTTATCATTACTATTGCTTGTAGTGAGAATTCTTCAGTCCGGAAAGAATTTGTGATTGTCACTCTAAGCATTTATTAGGAAGTTTCTTCTTAGAGCCTTCCTCTACTCCCCCTTACTGTTAGGCAAAATATGATAAGTCAAAAAGAGGTGGTTTTGGTGCCTGTGGTACCCGAAAGTGACATCTGCAAATATTTGACCCATTCCCTGAACCCCCACTAGGAGGCTTCAGTCTCATTTTGTGACCAAGTGGTCAACATGAGGGTGAGCTGTCTCTGAAATTATACACCTTTTGCCTGGAACACTCATTTGACATTTAGCAATTGCTTCCATGAATGGCTTCATTTTCGTCTCCTAGTGGTTAATTTCTCTAGATTATAAACCCTGTGAGGGCAAGGGCTTTACTGCCTACTGTTATATCCATTATAGAATCTAGTTCAATGTGTTTGATTGCTTTGGGGAAGGATGGAGAAGAAGAGGTTCATCCTTATGGGGAAAATCGGAATCATCACAGCTAGCCCAAGTCAAGACATACAGAGCTATAGCTGATGATGTTTGCCTCCACTGAAGTTCTTCTGCTTTCCATTTCTACTTCTCCTATATAGTGTGCAATTGGATGAGTATGGAACCATGTTGAAAAATAGTTTCCAGGCTGGTATAATCACCTTCCTTTTTTTGGTGTGACCCAAGCCCCTTTCTTTTTCCCTTGTGAACCCCAGTTATGTCTGTGAGGTTATGTTTTGGGAAGGTTAGTGTCTAGGACAGGATAGTTGGGGGAGAGAGAAAAGCAATGGCCACTCTTGATGGAGTATCTTTATATATTGGGCTAGTCACTTTTCACATGATCTCACTTGGTCTGATGAGAAGTCAGATATACTTTAATGAGAACTCATGTCTGGGCATCTGGCTCTGGTATGTCCTAGAGCTTCTGGATCAAGCCCCTGAGACAGTTTCCCATTAGAGTTTGCTGAAAGATTCTGGGTTCTGGTGAGCTTCGGCCCGCATCTCTGGGGATGTTGATGTGGGACTCAGAGAACCAACTGAGCAAGAACTCTCCTTCTCAGCTCTCTGTCCCAGAGGCAAAGAGTCCATCCCAGCTTCTCTTACACCCCAAACATCCTTCTTTCACACTCAGACCCTATGACGCCAGGTTTGTTTTCTGGCCTGGGGACTGTTGATGTTGGAAGGGTTCCACTGGGCAGCCGAAGTTTTGCAATAACATGACACATATGCCTTCAGACTTATCCTGTTCCTTTGCTTCTCCTGGAGCTTTTGGTCCTTGTTTTTAAGGCTTTGTTGTGTGTTCACCATGGTCAGTGTCGCCTTTTGAGTACTTGGCAAGTTCAGCGTTGACAGGTCTGCCTCACTGAGCTTCTCTCTGATTCTTGCCTCCGTTGTACCAGGACTTATTCTTGTGTTCAGGAAGACCACGGACCTGGCCAGCTAACATCTAGAACTCGAAAGTGGGCATCTTCTCATGTGTGAGTGTTGGCCAGAGACTCTGTTCTGCTTTTATAAGGAGATATGAACTCTTGCTGAGTTTTTGTAGCGGGGCCGAGCTACCAAGGCATTTCTTAATAGAATTAGAATTAAAACAATTTTAAAAATCCTTTATATTTTATAGAAGAAAGAGGTTAAAGAAATGATCAAAACTAGGCTTCATCTCATTCTTCATCCCATGTGTCGCTGCTTCTAATTTTACTAAATGCAGATACTTTCCTACATCTGTGATTTGTAAGTTTTTTTTTTTTTTAATTTTTCTGTATGACAAAAGGCCCTGCTTTCTCCTCTGGGAAAATACTCTTTCTCAGGAAATATGGTTATTTGAGCCTTAATCTTTCTCTCTGTGCAGCATGATGGCAATGACCTTCAGGCACAGAGGCCCTTTCCTGCAGCCTCAGTGGTTGACTCCTGTAGTCTCCATGGGGTCATTTGACTTCCTTCTTCCCCATGTCTTTCTTTCCTTTATCTTCATATTTTCTAGTTACCCTCTTTCAGGATCTGGTCTGGGGCTTCAGGAAGGCCCTAGAACCTGGCTGGCTCTATGGGTTAAAGCCCAGAAGACCGTGCCTTTCCTTCCTTGCCTCTTTGCCCGGCAGACCTTCCTTCTGCGCACTGGTGGAGGCAGCAGCTTGTCGTAACTGTTTCCCAGAGGCAGAGCCATCAGTGGGTATGCGGTAGACATGCATTTCTTTTAAGTTCTGCCATGGAAATGGCCCATGTCTCCTCATACATGAGTGAATTGTCTAACTCCCCATCCATGTCACAGGACAGCTGTCCGCAGCACCCTGCCCTTACCTGCGGGTGGCAGGGCGTTGCTCCTATAGGCCTGCTTGGGGCCCCTTGGCTGCATTTTGGATTGCTCCCTCCCTCATCAGGGAGGCTCCTTCCGGGATAGCTGCTGCTAAGATTGGGATTCAGGGTCGCTGAGGCACATGCACCTCCTGGCTGGTTCCCCCACCCCCAAACCAGCACTCTTGGCCTGCCCAGAAACCACGAGGTGATGTAATGACCTGAGGCCTGGAAAAATAAACAGCTCTCAGGGAAACCAGCGGTAGCCGTTGTAAGCAAATACCCCACAGCCACCTGGAACCTCGCACATGACGTGATTGGAAGGAAGAATGAGTAATCCACTAACGTTAGCAGGCGCGGACTGGTCTGGGCTTGTGTGTGTTTAAAATATCTATATAAAAACAAACGCTTGATGTTTATTTCTGTAACTGGCCCTCTGGCTGTCTGCCCATTCCTCTTATGCAGGTGTCTCGGTCAGTTAGGGCCAATAGAAGGGAGCTTGGGGCTGGCGGCCATCCCTATGGCTTTCTCTCTGGCAACAAAGGCCTTTCTCAAGTTTTCCCTTTACAGAGAGGAGCCGTAAACACATTTGGAGGCCCCTAGCCCTGCAGTCCGTTTTTACCTTGTTTTAAAACTAGCTTTCCCAGCTGCCTTGCGCCTTCACCCCACTTTGTCTGCTTGAAAGCGAAGTGGAGTGATGTCAGTTGTGGGGGTATGATCCGGCCTCTGGAACTGGCTCGACCAGCAAAGGTTTTGGTTTTTTTTTTCTGTAGGTGAGTTTGTATGCTTTTTGGTGTTAATAGCAAAACCACATGTCCGTATGTTTTCCTTTTGGCCTCTGTTGATAAGAAATGGAAATCAAAGGTCCTGCCGAGGTATTGCAATTGACTCCTTCCAGTTTGCCAGAAGTCAACTATGGCCTCTGCTTTGGTCTGAGGGTCCTCATTCTGTGTTTATTTGTAAAATGGCTTTGGAAGTAGGCAGGATATAGATCTTATAAACACACTCACATAGGCAGCATTAGTGTTTTGGGGGATGAAAAGTGAAGTTACAGTACTTTATTGTGACAAATTAAAAATCTCTCTCTCATCCTGCTGTTGGCCTGTGACGCCTCCTTCCTTCTCGCCTGCATTTTTATTTGGGAGCTTTTCTTCTTAGAGCACAGAGCTTATCAGGTCAAGGTCAACGAGTTACTGAGTTAAACTAGAAGGAAGACAGCTTGCCATCTCTCATTGCAAAACCTCCGTGAAGCATTTCATATTCTTTTTGGTGGAAGGGTCATATGAACTCACTTAATGGCATAAGCAATAGAGATAGAGCCTTGTCTAAAATTTGAGTGGATATGAGTCAGTGATGCTTTGGGGAAAATGTTCTTTTTTTAAAAAAAAAAAGTGTCTCTATGCTATATTGGGACACTCCATCCTAGA